TACATTTTGAGTAAATTTCCTCTATATTGACATTTAGTCACAAGTATTTTCAGTAAAGTTAGTTAATAGCTAGCAGTGAAATACGGGGCGCGTATTTCGTCTTACATACTTGAATTTATTTACTGAGTTCAGATAACCACCGTCTTGTACAACGAGTACACATTTTTGAGTTTTTCTATGATTATCCTTAAGATCTGAAATCGATCATTATTAAGATGTACGTAGTACACTTAGGTACTCAGTCCCAAATAGAACGAAATGCACTTCCCGGATTCCACTAACCCAATTTACTGAAAATGTATTTATTTTTGTTTAGATGTGTCATCTATAACCGTAAAATGTTCGAAAATATTATCTTCATTATAAAATCTGATTTGCTAAATCTAAATTGACTAAGAAATTTGTTTATTGAACAAAGTCATTATTAATATGTAGATAAAAAGTAAGAAACCGTTATATCTCGATAAGCATAATGAATGGTAACTTTTGGGATCTATTGATAGACCAATACTAAACGTATATTTCTATTGTATAAGTGTTAAATAACTAAACTATGCATATTCATATCTTCTTGTCGTAAACTTTATTTTGACCTATGAACTATTATTATACGTTTCACCATTCTTGAATTATACCCTGCCTATTATTCACTACCTCCCTCATTCACAACCACTTTTGGCCAAATCTTGTACAAATGTCATTTTCTATTTTATGGTACGTTGTGGACTGTTTCATTGGTATATAAACCCCATATGCTTGGAATGTAATGATTCATATCGCAGAGGCTGAGACTTGTGTTGTGAACTTAATTGGCTGTACTAGGCAGGAAGCGGGACCAATAAGGACTCTAGATTGCTCATACGGGTTTACACGTCATTGATCCGATCGATAAGTCACTGCTCTCTTATTAGCGGTATCGTTACGTTATCCATTAACAGGGCACACAGTCCACAAGTCATAACAGAAACGCTTTATTCAGATTATATAATTGTATAAATAAATAACTAATATCAACCGAATATTTATTTAAAAAATTCGTATTAATCTCTAGCAGAGTCAAAAATTCAAATTACAATACCTACTAACTAAATACTAAAGTTAATAAAGATAAGTAAATACAATATGTAGAATGTATAGGTAGATGTCTTATTTTTTAGACAGATTACACTATACCTCTTTGATGATCTAACTACAGAATATGAGAGAGCATTAGATGATCGTCTTATCTAAGAACATCTCATTGATAAGCATCTACGATTCCGACAATGACTGGAACTAAGATATTTAGGTATACTGATGAGCAGAACTACTTTTAGATTTAAAAGAACTCACTTGTTTTTTCTCTAAATAAATAAACTGTCTGTAATGATTTTAGAGAAAAGTTGTATACTAAGGTTATGAAATGTTATACTCTTTGAAACAATAAAAGTAGTAACCATCACATTTCATTATCCATAAAATTAAAGTGATATAAAAGTTTTTCACTGTATTATTCACTACAATACATGAATTTTTAACCTTGACATTAATCAGAATTTATATTGAAATGTTTAACATTGAGATATTTGATTCATCTCCAGTCAGTCAGTCAGCTACATGGTAGGACCAGGCACATATATGCATCGGTCCAAATTGCCATACCTCATTAGCACAGTATGATGAACACTGGATTCATAGAAGCAGTTAATTCAATGGTGGTATGACTCATCTAACTAATATAATTACCTGTATAGGGGTTGTGGAGATTATTAAGTTTTTGATTGAGATCACGATCTCAATCAGTTTGCATCCATTACGAGCCGCGAACCATTTTTAAATTGAATAGATTTAAACAAAGGTATTTATTTCGACAGTAATTTTGTTTAACAGTAGATGAATTTAAGATGGTGCGTCGAAGTTATAATTCAACTGTATGAATTGGGAAGTTATTTAACGTGCTGAAAATAAAGCAGTAATTCGTCAGTGACATCGACTAATGACATAATTCTTGTGATTTGCTCAAGGTAGAACAACAGCTTGTAATGGTTCAGTATGAGATATCAGTTATTAGTTCAAAGTTTACTCATGTGTATGTATCAAGAGAATAAAAGAATGCATTATATAGTCAAAGAGTATTTTAATTTCAATAGGTGAATTAAGTAGTGCAAGTTGGATTTAGTTTGCCAAACCTCTTTATATTCATTTTATTGTCACATATGTAATTGATAAATTTTAAAATAATAGAGATGCGATTTATGTGAATAAATAAAGAATTCTACTCAAAAATGATTTAATACAAACCGTAAGAAGTAGATGTTTTTTAAGTCACTACTTGTAAGTAGTATAGAGCAATATCTTGTTTTTTATGTCAAAGATCAACCTCAAAATATGTGTACGAATGTTCCAACCAAAAACCATAGCCGATGTAATCGAATAAATCGTAAGGTGGTAAACCACTTTAAAATAACCGTAAACTCTGATTGATGGGTTTCAACTCAACGGAAATCATCAAGAAAACAAAAAACGTCAAATTCAATCTCTCATGGAGTTGTAAAGCTACACTAATTATTCACCAACTATGACAAATCTGATGATCACTGTTTATGAACTTATGTTCGCTTGCCATTTTCCAACTACCGTTACTCTGAAATCTTCATAAATTACCTGCCCAATTAGTATACAAATCTTAGTATGTGTTTGCAACTTCCCCGTTGTTGAAATTTTGGAATGTAGTTGATTTGTCTTTTTAATATAAGGGGATCATTAATAGGTTGCCTCAGTATAGCCTTTCTTTTATGTATCCTATATTCCACAGCTGGCCTCTATTCAAATAAATTAACATCCTAACCTGTTTATCAATGTTACTAGAACAATGATAGATGAGTATATCTAAACAAGAATGTCATGTTCTAAATGTATGAATATAAATGAAGTGCTCATTAGAATATCACTAAAATATCGAGATGTTGAGTTACTAAGAAGTTCGAACCTTCTTTTTTTAAGTAGGTGGTCATGTTTAGAAATTACTGAAAAGAAATATAACATAAATTGACTATAGTCAGGATTATAAATCATTGGATTCTCTTTGATCGGTCTATAAATATCCCCCTCGTCAAAACACCTAAAGGTCCAAGATTCTTTTCCATGACAGTTAATAGTTTACTATAACTGATGAGTCTAAAGCAGAGATAAAGCCATTTTCCAAGGTTTCCTTAGTTTCAATAGTTCTCCAACTAGTCTAGGCCCATTATCTGCAAAATCTTTCAAATCCTTCCAAATGATTTCGAACCAAGTTCAAGAGCGGTTTTTTATCGTATTGGTTTCACATTGTTGGGTAGATTGATGAATGAATGATTTTCAGAATCCTTTCAAAATAAATCATAAATAATTGAAGTGTATATGCTAGAAAACATTCAGCTTTGACTAGAGTGATACTTTTCTAAAACAGTGAACGTGTTTCATTCTGAATGTGAATAACTACAGGAATGGGCAACTGAGAAATGTTGAACAAGTAGAAGAAAATACTTGATTTTGTTTAGATTTCCACAGTTAATCAATCAATACTGATTTGCAATTTATTGATATATCGAAACATGTTAAAATACACCTAATGGATTGTAAATAATAACATGAAAGTCACCCAAACTACAGTTTTAATAATATCGTTTTTCTGAATACCCGAATCTCATATAAGTAAAGACACACACTTAACTCATAGACTGACATATTGTATCATTATAGACTAAACAATAAATGTGTATAATATTTAGCAAAAATATACTTGTTGGTACCATAATTAGAAAATTGTTGTTTTCAGTTTGAATCTATTTAAAACAGATTTGGTATGTATTTTTTGAACATAGTCACATAACACTAACATGTACGCTGATTTTAAAAAAATGCTGAATCAAGCATGAACGAAATGATAATACATGAGAATGTAACTGATTGTTTACTAGACAAACTATTTGTGTGAACACTGTAAAATGCAAAAAGTTAGAACGGTTGAGTGAAATATTACAGCTAAGTATCTTATGCACACTGAATGTTCTAAAACGCTGATTAAGCTTGCAGTGATTACGTGAAGTAAATGAACGCAAGTTATTGATTATTACACGACCATACAATTCTAGTCATATGCTCTATTGCTATGATTTTAATCAACGTCTCTACAAACCTTTTTTGGATAAAATATTGTGGTAACTTCATTTTTCGATCAGTTTAATTTCATTTTTATCTTTGCTACACTATAATGATATTGTGGTTTATGTTACTGATGTCGATAGATATAAGTAGTATGTATCATCAACCGAAAGTCAAATGCCTGGAGTCAGAAGTTTAAGAAGATCGAAGAAAAAAGAACGAGACAAGAGAATGATTAGCGTGAAAGCGAAGGGACAATAAAGTCTGTATGGTTCTCAGATCTTACTAAGACATTCTGCAATTTTGTCCTCACTTGTGTTCTCGTTCACTACGATATAACTTTAAATTAACTTCTGAATAAATCTATTTCCATAAGCATGTAAAATTTCATTTGTAATTTTTAATACTAAAATATTACATGTTCTGAGCAACTGATGACAACAAAACCGTTGTTCATGTTTGTCTCATAGTCATATTAGGGAACCATGAGTATAAAAATCTGTTAGAAATGAAACGGAGTAGTTTCTGATTAAAACAGTAAAAAAGCTAGGTTTAGAGGGCAGAAATTAAATGGTACATACTGTACAATTTAAGTTTTTCCGAAAAAAATCTTAGCTTCTATATAACCAGTGTATCTCTTCCCACTTACAATTATGTTGTCGCAACAGGTCACAAGTGATTATCAAAGTTTTTTTCCTGACTCCATTTTGACTATTAAAAAAATGACTTTTTTAATAGTTGAAATCATGAGTCAATTGAAGCTAGATCAACACGGAAAACCTGGAAGCACTGGACGACCGTTTCGTCCTACTGTGGAACTCCTAAGCAGTGAGCATCCACGATTCCGCCTAGCGAGATTCGATTTTTTTAAAAAAAAACAGTAATCAAAAGTTTATGTTTACAGATCACAGATTGTTTTACATCTAAAGAAATATAATTAAATATTACATATTGTGTGAAATATGAATAAGTATACAAAGTATTAAAGTGATAATTAAGAATATACTTCAAAGAAGTATAAAGTAATGTAACAAAAAACACAATACATTACAAGATGTTCATTATGAACTAATCTTTTTTATTTAATGTCTTAATGGGTGTATTCCGTTCATTATGAATTAGACATTATTTCCTTCTACAAAACAAGAGGTATATATAATAAACTTAATTATATAGAAAGATAGTCCATTGTTCATATAAATACACAAATGTATATTTGTTTTTTTACGAATCTATTTTAGGTAAACAAAATGGATCAGCATAATGTCCAATAGTTTGATTATTTCTAGAAAATAATGTACAATATTCTTTACATGTTCTACATTGTATATCAGAAAATTTTAATTGAGAATAATCTTTTAAAGGGATTGTAGTGGATTGACGTTGAAAACAACAATCTACGTTAGATATTAAATCTGTAACCATCATTAACAAACAATCAATATGCATCACATTTGAACAACCTGGATTGATACACTACAATACAAAAGAAAAAAAGATACAAATCTTGTTAAATACCATAACAAGAACAAAATATAGTTAGGTAAACAAAAAAGATATATTTACTTCCGAATTTAATATTGAGCCAAACTCTATTTTTGTTTTTGTTTTTTTGTGTGAAGGACAGAGTGATAATAATTACTTGATTAAGCCTGTTCCCTATCGTCGGGTATAGGTCACTGTCCCGTCCTGGGTTCTCATTTTCTTTTTGCCAAGTGCAATTCATGCTCCGATTTCCAGCCAAATGTATTGTTCGGTCTGCGTCTTTTCCTTTTGCCTTTGGGATTCGAAGTCAGGGCGTGACTTGTGATCTAGTCTGATAATTTCCGCAAAGCATATATTATACACAACGGAAATCTTTACCTTATTTCCTCCTCAGTTGGTTTTTTCTCTTCCCCAGTCAGTTATTGCTGATGATATCTGGTCAATGGATCTGAGTATCCTGTATAAACGGCTATTTATAAGTACCTGTAATTTTTTGATGATGGTTGTAGTAATTCCCCGAGTTTCAACTCCGTCTAATACAAATGTTTTAATGTTGGGATTTAAGATTCTGTTTTTGGTCTTGAGTGACAGTTCTTCTAAGTTCTACATATTCTTTAATTGCAGAAAGGCCTCTATTCATACGCCGTCCATTGCCTTCAAATTCGCACCAGATTATCCGTGTTTATCGATGATGCTACCTAGGTACGTAAAGGCTCCACACCTATTAAATTAGGCGTAATTTTGTTTTGGCCTGCTGTTTTGTATTTCAGAATCTTCTCTTTCCCCCTGTGAATGTTGAGGCATACTACTATTGTGATTTTACACGGCTTCTTACACTGAGGTAATAGGTGGGAGAAAGCAAGGTTTAAAGACATGACCTGAAAGCTAAAAGTCAAGTACTTTGAACACCATACCATTATTCCAAAAAGTAATTATTTAGGAGAAAATAAGAGACAATTAGTGTGAATCGAAGAGAGAGGAGTATCAGTAATCTACACTTGGTGTAACTGGAAATCAAGCGCTTAAACCTAGATTTATTAAATGACTTGGATTGCATTACACAAACTGCCATGGAAACAGACTTTGAGTAAACTAGACAGAAACATTATCTAGTTACCATTTCATTATCTACAAGATACAATAATCTGATAACTCTTTCCTTAAGAGTTAACTATTTTTTTCCTAAAAATATAATTGTTTTCTAAATCCTCCTTGTAGAATGACATAGTCGATAGCTGCTAAACAGACATCAAAATTTATTTGCTAAAAATCATTAAACTCAACGAACAATATTATCAAGATATCTACAAGCATAATATGATGCTCTACTTAATCTTAGATTTCTGAAATTGAACAATAACGTATGATACTTTGAAAATGAAACTATAAATCATCTACCCAATTTGTTAATTAAAATAGCAAAACGACAAAATACTCTATGTTATTCAAGTTATATACAAGTTTACTTACTCGTTTATAAGTAGTAAATTCATGTGTCCATATAGGTTTATTTAAGTCACCACAAAAATCACAGATTAACGCTCTTCGTCTACACGCTTTACATGTACGTACGTGTGCTAAAGCAACATCTTGAATGGTATTTTTAAGTAGTTCCTCTAATTTTGAAGATTGTACAAGTATTAAATCCTAAAAAAAATACATATATAACAAGTAGTACCAGAGGAATGAGCCAGTCTACAAAGGTATGCTGATTGAACAACCAAACAATAGGTGAGTGGAGCATGTGATAAATATATCCCATGCAATTTAATCATGCATTTTACATGATGAACTGACCTCAGTTAAACAACTGTTGAAAACTAGGAAGCACTGTACAGCTGTTTCATCCTAGTATGGGACCTGAAAACTTTGTGTAAGAACTTCAGTGTAATCTTGGATGTGTATTGCTGATAAGTTTTATGATAAAGCGAAACAGGTATTCCGAAGCTTCCTGGTATACAACGGTTGCCTAATCAAAGTCAGTCTATGATGTAAACTGCAAAACTCAAAATTTTCCACATATCTCCAATACTAACAGTGTGCAGTTAATCCGAATGATTTATATGTTCTATTCTTCAGTTTACAGACGGACAGGTGTAAATTGTACTGAAATGATCTATATCAGAATGTTTGAAAGAAAACAGAGACATAGAAAGTTTTCAGTTATGAAAATGATAACGGAATTGTGAAATTCGATAACCTAATATCAAGTAATAGTGAAGCGATTTTGTTTGTAAATATTACAGTATATGCTGCACTCAAATTATTGATACTGGGAAGAAAAGCAGACAAAAATGATGAATATAATTCGAAAACATATAGGTTCTTTACATAAGAACTATCTTTGGGAAATTACCGTCAAAAGATAGGATAATAAGTTCAGTATTACATCAGTTAGCTTTTTAGTACACTGAATATTTCCATCAAGACATTAAAAAAGAAGTTGAGAGGAGAATTGTTTCTTACCAATTAGTTCCTCATCAAGACTCTGCAATAATACATGTATGTATAAGATTAAGTGTGGAAATATGGGGAAAGTTCAATGAAATTCTACAAGTAACTTCGAAAATGAAATTTCTATCGATAAGGTGACCGGTACATACTAAATGTTATGAAACAGAGCTTCGTAATATTCATTTTTGTCCTTTGAACAACAAAGAAGGGTAGTGTTCAGAAGTACGATAATGTATTTGGACGTTTGCATGTCTAATATAACAGATGCCACAAGAGCAGTTGAAACGGTAGATACACACAGACGCAGTAGAACCAGGAAGTTTATCCTTATTTCGTGAATTTACTATTGCCTGATTGAAGAAAAAAGGATATATACTAACTGAGTTTTGTTCATTCTATGGCCTTTTTATATTTCGTATCATTACCTCACTGGTTTCTTCCTTTACATGATTAAAAGAAAAAATATAGTTATATGAACTAAAAATGAATGTGAGTCTTGGTGATTAAATGAAAAGTAACAATAATTCGTTGAATTTATAATGATTAATCAAAGTGATGTTCGTCAGGGCTTCCCACTCTCTCCATTCTTGTTTAACTTTGTCGTCGACGTGCTTTTAGAGATAACACTTTCCTCATCTAAATTTCCAAATGATGAACTTCTAACGGGAGATTCAATTGTTGACTTAGAACATGCCGATAACATAGTGAAGACGCTAACAAAATGCAAAGTCTTCTAGCCACTCTAAGCAACAATGCAAGCATGTTCGGGATGCGATTCTCCCCCTCAAAATGCTAAATGTTACTTCAGGATAGGGTGGCATCGTCATTCGAACTAATGATAGGGAGTGAATTAGTTGAGTGTCGACAGCTTCACTTATCTTGGAAGTCTCATCAGCCCTTGTGGTCTGGTGTGTGCCGAAATTTCAGCACGGATACAGAAGGCTCGACTAGCTTTTGCCAACTTGCATCATTTATGCCGTAGGCGAGATATCCGTCTACCAAACAAAGGGCGAGGTAGTGTGCAGCAGTTCGTTCTGTCCTACTTTATGGCAGCGAAACATGGCCGGTAAGAGTAGAGGATATTCGTAAGTTACCAGGATTCGATCACAGGTGTCTTCGAAATATTGCTCGTATATCCTGGGACTACCGAGTAAGTAACGCTGTTGTTAGGAAACGGGTACTAGGTAAGGATGGTAAATTAACTGATGAAGTAGTGAAACTTCATCAGTTGAGATGGCTGGGACATGTGTTACGTTTGCCCAACCACCGACTGCCCCGACGTGGGATGTTTTATGGTGTAGGAGTAGGTTGGAAGAAAGTTAGAGGCGGCCAGACCAAAACATGGCACAAATCTATGAAGTCACTGACAAGTGGACTGAGCCATGTTGGTAGGTGTAGACTACCTGGTTGAGATTCGCGAGATCATAGCAACCGATGGTTAGAGACGTTGAATGACATGGCTCAAAATCGTTTGCAATGGTGCAGGTGCATCCACTCTTTGTGTTCTCCCAAATTCTAATCTTCTGAATTCTTCATGTCCCTTTTTTTCTCTTTCCAAATTTATTTTACTGGATAATACTTTTTGAATAACATCTTCAAACCCTAATCTTTCCGATTACTGCTTATACTTTTACTACCTCTACCACTATGGGATTTGAATCGACAATTGTATTTGTGTGCTAATGTGGTATGGCAACTCGAACTGATATACGTACGTACGTACGAAGTTCTACTTTGTTACTGACTGACTGAGTATGACGCACTGTATGCTACAATAAAAATGCGTTCCTAATGGTTAGATTAGTTGTGAACATAGAATGATGCAATTGAAAAATAAGTTTATCATGCATAGTTTCATAAAAATTTCTTCAAAAACATTGTTACAACTCATACAGAAAACTACTTATCTTTAGTCAATGTATCTACATTAGATGATTGATGATAAATTCCTATTGTTGATACATAGTTTAAACTTGCGTTTGGAAACACCTTTCCTTTGTATTTCATCACTTCATCAATTATTAGAGCATATATGCGACTTTAAATAAGAAACATATTTTATATGAGTTTCTGTCAATAATTCCAGAACACTGTCATCTTTCTAACACTAGGAAATTTTATGTATTTACTTAATTCGCAGTGTAACTATATTATAGGCCAAGGCCAATAGCGACATTAAAATAATCTTATGATTTTGAAACCACTTTTCAGTCAGTGGAAATGAAGTCAGCATAAATAAAAAGTAATAAGACCGGTAAGACTGTGGTGATTTTTGGGAATTTATTAGCTTTTCACGGCTTATTATCAGTTTATAACCTTAAAGTTATATATATATATACCAAGGCTTTATTTCTGGATCCTTTTTATGCCCATAAATGGTTTTGTGGAACATTCATCATCAGTGACGAAATTTCTATTACACATTCGCAGAAGATTTAGAAAGATGGAAATGTAAGACAATGTGGGGAAGTAACGTGAAGAAATCATTATCTCCTCTTGGAATTCCTACTTCACTGACTCATTTATTATTCACTAGATAACTGACAAAATGATTTGTTTAGGAAGCTACTATGAGCAAAGCAGATTGAAGCATTATCCCGATAGGAAAAAGCAAGAATTTAACCTGTTTCACTCTTTTATTTTCAACTTATGGTGATAAAAACAAAAAAGGGTTTTCCAAATGATTCAAAATGTTTCAAGTAGCACACAAAGATCTTTCTATTTGGACTTTTCATGTGAAGTATGACACAAAAGCCATTTTCACAATTCTGATTGTCTTAGTTTTATAGTACAATCATACACAATTGGATTTATTCTTTAGTTTATCTTGAGAGAAATGATATTCTACTTTTGTTGAGACCACAAACCGATCCAGGTTAAACAACCATTGAAAACCTGAAAGAACTGGACGGCCATTTCATCCTAGTATGAGACTCTTTAGCAGTGCGCATCCACAACCCTGAAAACAGGGACCAAACGTAGAACTCGCAATCTCCTGCGCGAATGCTTAACCCCTAAACCACTGAAAAGGAATTTGATGATGTACAAGTCTTACTTCAATCCATAATCAAATCTACTTTATTCTAGAAAACATTCGAAAGAAAAATAAACTAATGATAGAAATATTGCTAAATCAAATATTATATTTTTTTATTATAAAAATGAAGTGAACTGGAATCTATAACAACAAACCTACCTCAATTGAATATATATCAATATCATTGATATTTTGTAGCATATACATTCGACCATCCATACATTCACATAGTTTTTCAGCTGTTTTACCATCACATCTAATTATTTGATCCCATAACAAAACTAAAGTACGTCGAAGTTGTCTAATTAAATATAAATTCGGTATAGTAGCATAAAGAATAGGATTTAATTTAGCTAAATTTATCACTGGTCTATTATGTAACGCACTAAGAAATTGATGTGTAATTTGACAAACTGAAATTAAAAGATAAATTTTAAAGAAAGAAAGAAAAATTAAAGGAGAGGAGGAAGAAGAATAAATAATTGTAAGATTAATTGAATGTTAACATTAAGAAAACTTCATTACAAGTGAGGGAGTCAGTCAGTCAGTAACAAAGTAGAACTTCGTACGTACGTACATCAGTTTAAGTTGCTATACCACATTAGCACAGAGATGCAGTTGTCGATTCAAATCCCGTAGTGGTAGAGGTAGTAAGTGAGGGAAAAAAATGTAATCATAAAACTCGATTTTATGCTATATTGTGTAATTTATTTGTCAAGTGTATAGGTTAATAAGCTCAGATTTAAGCTTTGCTATTCGTTATACATGGGTATGAGTGAGAGAGAGATAGGGTAATTGATGATATTTCAATTAGTCAAACTGAATTACTAGAAGTGAATTAGATAATTAAATATTTTTAAGTCATTGCCAATTTTAAGTAAAGTTATACAATGTAGCAAGAAACTAGATTAGATTCTTTAAATCATGTCGTCGTCGAATCATTTCGGGAACAAAAGAAATCAACTACTCATAGTTTGACAAGATGAAACAGAATGATCGATTGTGTTAACGTTTTCAATATTAATATATTGTGTTAAGAAATAAATTAATCAGATACAAAGTTTATCAACCGAATATTCTACATAAAAATGATAATTTTATACAATTGGTCAATTGACTAAGGATATCTAAACTAAGTCGGAAATTAAAAGAGGAATATTCCTCAATCAGTCAACACAGTTAAGAAATCATTGACAAACAGTTAAACCAGTACTTTTAGTGAAATATCTATATTTGGTTAAATAAGAATATCAAGGTGATATGTATTTGACTTCTAGATAAGTTTTCTAAAGTTATGGTCTGTACGGCCAACCAAGTACGGAATGAGACAGATATCCGCTAGTAGTGCTACTAAGTGAGGATTGTAATGAAACACAAACTGACCAAATTTGAAAATACGGCCAGAAATGTACTCACTCAATGACTAAGACATATTATAGTCACCACAAAAGCTAAAGGTTCAGAATTTGATTCTGTTTGGGATTATACTGTAATAATTGATTATTTCGTATACACGAAATGAAAATTTTTATCGCCTAACATACATATTCAATCAATTGTCCAGTGGTTCCATAAGCAAATTACCAGTCCAATTCCATTAGGTATCCAGTTAGGGTATTAAATCAATTATCCCGTAGTAACAGTCATTAATTACTACGTAGAATCATGTTTTGGATAATGTTTACCATTAAAATGTAAAGTGGATATTTCATTTTATTTCAGACTAGTTATCTGAATGTACCTCCATCCTAATGTTGATCTTCACACTGGAACTCGAACTTGTGACCTATCGTTTAAAATACCAAAGAGCTACTAATTGAATTATGTTAGCCATCAATGTATTCAACAGGATTCAAAGAATTTCAAACAAGGATTGATCAAATTCACTCCTGGCTTTCGATAAGAGAAACAACGGAAATTCACACAATTTTAATAGGATTAATTTTATGTCATAATCAATAAGAAATGGAGAATAATAATAATAATAATAACAGTATACCTGGTTTCAGTGAAAAATCCCAATTCATTATAAGATTACGAGGAATAATTGCTTCTTGTAACTGATGACAATTAATACAATAAAAACAAGCATCATAATGATCCAGGAAAGCATTATCTAAATTTGTATAGATTAAAGAAGGCGAGGATTCGAAAGCGAAGATAATAATTAAAACAAGAATTTTTAAAAAGGTAAGAAACTTAAATTATACATAAATTCAAATGATATGAAAGAAACAATTGAATTTTGATGTAATAACTAACTTTTAAATATTTGTGTTTTGCTAACTCATAAAATTTCGAAATAAATTACAAATTAACAATGATATAATGAAGTTTCGGATATAGACTATTGTTTATTTAACAATAAGAATCAACCTCAAAGATTGGAATAATTGAGATATTGAGAAACTATGTGAGACTAAGAATGTGACTCGAGTTGTTACAATTTTGAATTCAAGAAATAAATCTGTGATTGTAAACAAAGTTGTGAATAATGGCTATTGTGAGAAAATTGTTAATGTAGTTCACATTCACTACAAATCCATGCAAAATTGTCTATGTATATGATCAATGCTTCAACAAAGCTGATTCATTTAAATATTTTAAATATGAAGCGATACCAACGGAATAACCAATGGAAATCAGAAACTATTAGTTTGTCGGTTTATATAAGTCTGAGACTCTTTGAATAGCACGCATCTTTAACGATACCCCCTCCCTAACTTCATGAGGGGTAATTAGATATTTAGCCACTAGATTCTAATCTAATCGATCACTACTAAAAATAAAATTGATTTACGGTATTTTATGTAAAATTCTTTACCAACCAATTGTGTATTACGATTGTATGACTTTATATGATGATTATTATATTACCAACATGTTTCATAATTAGTGGAAAATAAAATTTCACCTTTTCAAAGACTAAGGAATGCAGAAACAAAACTTTTGATTTGAGGGCTTCCCGCCAAATACCAACAGCTGATTAACATCAAAGTGGATCACCATGTCAACTCACGTGACCTGGAGGTCACACTGAGAATTCGATCGATAGGAGTCAGTCAGCATTGATACCTACAGTTTAGTGCAAACCGCTACTTAAAAAAGACTACTAAACTCCATACGTCTAGGGTTTCTCACCATATTTCTCGAGTAATTCACGACAACGTCAGATATACAGGTAATCAATATATAATTATATTACCGGTATGGGGTTGTCGAGAATGCTAGGTTTTAAAGTGGGGTCATAAACCGATCGTGGGTTGATTGGAGTTGAACATTAACACCATTGGATGAGGGCTGTCGTTCGCAAGTGAGATCGAAGGTCCTGGGTTCAAATCCAACGTGCGGGATCGTGGATGAGCACTGCTGAGGAGTCCCACACTAGGGTGAAACGTCCGCCCAGTGCTTTCAGTTTTTCAATGGCGGTCTAACATTGATTGGCTTATGATCTGAATTAATATATAAAAAGCTAAATATACATATATGTAATTTTTTTTCACTGAGAGGGAGAGATATTGATCATTATCTGTAAGAACATAGGAACAGTTAGTACAAATTCTAAGGGAACTGGTGCGTATAATTTATAGAGAATTAAGAATTTTCACTGGTTGAATCAACTCGGAAAATGCATTAGTTCATTAGATAAACTGATAGATTACAAATTATACAGAACCTAATAAATTCTAGTATCATGTGGTAATATCAAAAATCAGAATTAAATGAAAGTCCTAGGTTCGATCTTTGGTAAGGTTGTGGATGCACAGTATTAACGAGTTTGATATTGGCGAAAATTAACTATCCAGTGCTTTCCGCTTTTCAATTTTTGTTTTAAAATCAGTCTTCAATGCAAACTATAAAATTAAATAACAGTTTATTATGATATTTTGATTATTCTCATTGTAAATAATCGTCAATTTTATTATTTTAAGTAAACAAAACGAGTCATAGTACTGGTATAAAATATCAATTATTGAGTAGTAAATCAACAATAGTAATAAACACATACTTGGTTTCAGACGATCGGAACAACGTTTACAACGTCCGTAGAACACAGAGTTTTCTCCATTTCCATATTCAAATTTACATGCTCCAGGAAATATATCAACCAACCGTGAAACATCCTAAATTTTGTTTTCAACAGCAACAAAAAATAATACTAACATAGAATCAAAAGAAAACAAGATACCCAAGTAGTTCTATATAAGTAACTGATAAAAATATCACACATTGAAATGAATAAACTAATGTCAAGGATTGGTAATGTTTGGTTAACTTCAAACCATTAAGTTATGAGTGAAAACAACATATCACTTTATTCTGAACTATTTGGTTATACCATTAACTTTTACACATAACAAATAAATTATATCTTGTCTGTTGAAAACTCAAGATCATTAATCATGGACGGTTTAATATACCCAGATGTTTAAACTGGAAAAATAAATGATGGAACGGAATTTGAACCTGTGACTCGATTATGAAAATTTGAATGCAACATTTTATATGTTGAGATACTTTTACTGATTAACGTGCTTAAACGGCTAACCTATATACGTAGGAAGAGTGAGAATAATTATCTAACAAAAATTTGTTTTATCCCACCGGATCCTTATCAGATATCTAAAACCTTTAGGATTCGAATATCCGTAAAGCGAACTCATTTCAACATTTTATGATTAAAGTCGATCACTAGTGAACATTAATATATGTCAGTATAATAAGTAGTTAGAACTATAAAAATCCAGGCAAAAATAAAGAGTGATTAAGATGTTACAACTGAGGATCATATTTAATGGGAACTTCTATAAAATCTAATTTAGAAAGTCACTTAAGTGTTTAAAGATGAAATTTTGTTAGAAACTCGGTTGGATTGTGTTATGAGGATCTAGAGTTATAATTACTGTTATCAATGTTGATGAGTAAAGAAAATCTACATATTTCCTTGTTACTATTAGGCTTTTCATTTCTATGACAGAAACTCGAGAACCAGTTGTGAAATGTATGTTCATCAACAGATTATTAGTTCACCAAGAAGAATAGTATAAACTTTTATTAATTTGTTTAGGATTATGGACTGATTAGAACCCACAAAAAACTTATCCTCATCAGTTTTTGGTATGAATAGATGTTATGAATCAGATGTTATTTACGGTAAAACTGAAGCGTGAAAATAACTTTCAGTCACGAAGTTAAAAAAACTCTCTTTTAACTGCTTAGGCCAGGGTGGTCGGGTGGTATTACTGGCCCAAAAACAAAAAGCGCGACTTAAAGCTTAGTACATAAAATGTACCTAACGATGATAGGTGAAGACAAAAGACATGAATTGAAATCATCAGAATTAGCCAAGGCAGAACCTGGCACATGTGTACATCGGTTCAAGTTATCAAACCCCATTAGCAAAGAAAGGCGACTTCACTGTACACAATGATGCCTCATATAACTACAAAAAAAGGATAATGGCAATCAGAAAAGCCCATTTCAAATGTAAAGAGACGAAAACCAGAAATATTTCTGCACCATAGTTTAATTAGGTTAAGAAGAGTGTTTATTTGTGTAACTACCACAACAGCGCAAGATGGTTAAAATAGAAATTTAACAATAATTGGACACCACATCATCATGTTTCTTAACCGGACTAAAACATTTTTTTAAAAGTTTATTGTAACTCATCTACCGACCACAATTTTATGCACCCATAGTATTGTTTAAACGGAAGTAAGATAACAAACAGATTACCTCCTCGGTAATATCTAATAACAAGTCGTCACCAACTATATCCCAATCGTTATCCTGTGAAATTGTAGAGGTTTTCATAAAAGAGAAAAGAAAAAAAGCATTACTATGGAGAAGTTCATCGATTTAAACAAATTCTACAAAGAGACAAAACACACGTCAGTAACTCAACAAATCAAAAGATGAGTTCGATAAACACAAAACCTTTGGCAAGTCCAGATTTACAACACGGTCAGAAATTGTAGCTTATTATTTGCAAAATTATTTACATTTCTGTTTGTGAGTTCAAAAAACTGCTCAGCTATCTAGATCGAGATAGACAGTGCAATTGACGGACCACAAATATAGATATCATCTTAAACATTATTATTAAAAATATGAAGCTACGTTAGTTGCGATAATCAACAATTTTACCGCGTGAAATTGTTTAAAAATCCTATCACATATCAGAATACAAACCAAATTGGAATAGCAGATCAGGATTCTTTGTAATTGTGCCAATGATTAAAATGTATACTATTCTAACACTCACTAACCTCATTTGTTAAAGATTCTGTCGATACACTCCTATCCCCTTCTGGAACCAATGTGATTGAATCAGAAGGTTTAGCTGTTTAATTTCAAAAAAATATAGAAATAAAATGACACTCAACTTTTCCGTGGGAAAATACTGCACTAAATTTCCATCTAAAAATACATTGCTTCACTTCTATCCTTGAACTCTGAGAATATTCAATACTTTAATGTATATCAGGGTTGAGCTAAAAAACTTTCAGATATCCAGACGAATACATACCTAAAGACGTCAAGTTACAAAAGTTTATTGCACGAACTCATTTGAAATTTTAAGTTATTCACAAGTCCAACCTCTGGGTTTTTGCAACTAAGTTTATTTTCGAAGTGTAGTCATATTGAATAAGAATTTTTATCTTTATTTGCTTTGAAGAAGTGACTTACATTAAGTCGCGAAACGCCAGAAAAACAATTTTATACTAATTGGAATATCACAAAAATATTTATTGTTACTAACATTTAAAACTTTCTATAGTAATACAATAGGTATGACAACATAAATAAAATTATTCTATTCTTAACATTTCGATATATAACCTTGAGCATGAAACAAGTGAAAAGTTGTCTATTACAACCAATACCAGTAGACAACAATATGTAAAATCAAAGGTACAGATTCACAGATACTTACTACCTAAATTATGGTAATTGTGGTAAACAGTGGGGCAAAAGCACACTATATTTTAAAGATCATTACGAAGATCAGTACTGTTGGTTACTTCGTTCGCACGCTGAATTCAAAGTTAAATTGAATAAAGGGAGTAATTTTTAATGCTTCCGATAAAATCACAAAACACTACCATCTCTATAAAATAATTATGTTAATTTGTTATTGATATGTATCTATTGTAAAAGTATTCGTTTGTTGGTTTTAATTACAAAGTATTATTTTTTAATGCGCTAAATATAACAGCATTAAAATTAATAGATAAACACAAGTCTATTACTACTAACACTGTTACCACTTTTGATACTCTAGGATTCGCGCTTACAGTTTCACCCTCTTGTGCCAATAGGCTAATGTAACTCAAGCTATTGTACATATGCACCAGGTTCAACGTTGTGTTTGACAGGCTGAAGTGGAATTTATAGAAATATAGTAGTGGTGATGTCTCGATTACGACCAGGTTCATGAAATACCACCTTATGGGAATGCAAAAAGACTCTCAATATAACTCCTCTAAATAATATATCAAATGGAAAACAAATGATACTTGAATAAAGCAAGATAAGAATAACGTCTGTCCAACGTTCATTTCGTACAAAAGGATGAATTTTTAGATAAAATCTCAGTATATAGGTAAGATCCTTTACAGTGATGAGCAATATTTTTCTTTTTACGAGCATTTGCAAATAAAATCAGTTGATGTAAGACCAAAACAGAGTTGTAGAGGTAAATAAATCTCCAAGCAAAAAAGTCCTGTAAGTTTTCGACATTGATACTGACCTCATTAGTTTTACTGCACACCCTAGATGAATGCGCTCAGTCACGCAACCGTACCAAATCGCGAGCGGGTACGTTGTGCTACGCATCGCCTCCAACTACTACCCAGCTTAGATAAAAAAGTTCCCAAATATATCTGAGGACTTATTAATCCTTGACTTCTGATTTGACTGAGTTGATATTCTTTGTTTATACAAGTCTTACAGACAGAGGCGTTGTCAAACCCTGAATATTTGTGGCATTTTAAAAGTGATAGCAACGCACCTTTGCCAGTAAACAGGAAATAGAGGAAAATATCGAGAAAAACAGTATCGTTTTACCTTCGGAAGTAGTCTCCATACTTGTATTTACTTTAGAAAATTTGCATATCTCTATAGGTTCGATCCATGAGTTGCAAGCAAGCCTCAACAGGTTATTTGAACCCGTGGGATAAATTTGTTTTCCACTGATCAGCAGATGATCTTCAGGTTTCCTCATAGTTTGGAACAGCATTCACGTCGGGAAAACGGCTACATCAGTATTTCTAAAGTAAAATCAATAACATTTTTTTAAACCAAGAGTTACTAGTCACATTTTGTTGTACAGAGTTATGTAAAATCATTAAAAATTAATTTCACTGAAGAATGAAAAATGTGAGCCCCAAAACGACAAAACCTTTCAGATATTATACAAATTCTGATTTCCCTATAAGCCTGTAAAAATTTACTAATTTCCCATTGAATCACATCTGATGTAAGAAATTACGGGGATTATTCAAGCCAAATATACCATAAAAAGCTGCTTTCTAAGAACAACAACTAATATTATTAGACTGTGTTTATCAGAGTTATTTGCAGTGTCTATGATTAACCAGTAGAAAACTGGCTAACTATCTTAATGTCGAGAACAAGACAGGAAGCCAAAGGCTGTTAAGAAACAAATTGAGGAACAAACGCATTTCCCAAGAACCTAACAAACAGACAACACGACATATAACTAAACCGTTGAAAATAAATCTTGAACTTGGAAGGAGAAAACTTTTGTCGTCCGAAATTTAGAAAAACCCTGCAGATATTTGTACATACATGGCTCGACTGAATTTCTAAAATCAGTGGAAGCGGTTAGAACCACAAAGCTTCAACCATCGCTTTTCTGAAAGTCTGAACTTACCATAAAGCAGACATATCCAAAAAGTTCGTTTTAAAGACCTACAGGAAAAACTAAGAACTAAATTATGAGAGATATCAGATTACAAGGGATTATAATTATTTGGAACCGTCCGTCGCAGCGTATCAAGTGGATAAAATAGAACTTATGTCCAGAAAATCATCAAGGAAATCAGAAGACTTCATGCACACAAATATTAAAAAGCGGCGAGACTATGATTTTTGGACAAACTAATCAGATTTACGATGACAAGTATTGGATTAATCCAATAGAAAGTTCTACGCGAAATTCACCCATCCATTTACCGAATTAGAATTTTGGCACCAATGTTGATGTCAGTTTGTGATGAAAACCCTAAATCTAATTCCTAACCTTTACTATCCACTGTAAATCATATGATATATAGTTCCGAGCAATTGACTGCACATTGTATACATCAACTTTCCAAGCAAAATGGTCACTCTACATCGAGGCAAATTTAAATTTATTAGGGACTTGGAATGCATGAAAATGTCTGAAAGAAGATGCACTGCAGTAAGCCGCAAAAAATTTTAACTCATCAGCTGATCGTAGCGCAACTTTAGGAAACACCTCCTATTTATTGTCGGATTCAACCCTGATTGACCAAGGTTGAATATAATTTAGCCTAAATACTTGGTGGATTTCCGGGCGAACTTATCCGCAACGCAACCAAGTAAACTTAATGTATCGCCTAGAGTCATCTGTGCGTTCAAGTAACCACAGATTTTGTAATTTCATAATGCATTTTTAACTAAATAACTAGATTAGGTTGTTAATTTTGCTTTGTTTTTAATTTTTATTCGCCACGTTCGACTGCGTTACACTGTACGTTCATTGCACGCTGGAATGATATCTCAAGTCATAGTTAGCTTAATCACATAGTTGATTGTTTCCAGATAGACTGTCAGTGCATGATTTTAGTGAAGAAAGGTTTGTTGTACTGTAAACTTTGTTTCTATGAACAAATGCCTGTTGTCTTCAGTATGAAAGCAGTATATATGTATCCTTCTTTTTTTCTTAGGTAAGTTCAACTGGCCTATATTTCGTGTTTTGGTTTTATCGGCTTAATTATGTCCATTTAACTACTTTGAGCAACATGTCTGTGCAGATGGAACAATAACTGTGACATTTGCTTAGTTCAGTATTGATGATGTCACAGGTATTCAGTGTTTAACAACGCTTCTACCAGTAACACCTTCTAATATATTTCGTTCCCACCCAGAGAAATCAAAAGACAGAGTCGAGGAGATCGGAAGAGTATATTTGGCGATGACCAATATATCGGAATTCTCTGATCTAATCTGGCTAGCGATTGCGGTAGATGTTGAGTACGGCGTTACCACACGTGATCTGGTGAGGATGCATGACCGAGCGCCTTCAGCTAGATGAGTCCACTAAAACATATGGTCAGCATCCAATGTCGAAAACTTACAGAGCTATTTATTTTGGGGATTTATTTACCGCTACAGATCAATCCCCCCCCCCTAGTGGGGCAGGGACGACACTAAGACGTGGCCAGCCAGAAGTTTAAACCCGAGTTTGTCGTTGGTAAACACTCTTCTGATAGCTTACTAAGTGTAGCAGCGTCTGGTCGTCTTTCCTTACTATATGGGACCGAGGTACAACATAGGCACAACGAAAATTTCGACTCCTCGTAAACTGCATCGTTCTTTTCGAGCCGTCCTGGAAAAGAAAAAAGAAAGTGTAAGTGCATGTCGAAATACACTCGTATGTGCGTAAAAACACGATGTTGGCGAAAAAATGGAAAATATACTCAAGCACACGTAATAGCGTTAAAAAATGTTTTTATATGTTTTGTTTTTTTTAATAAAAATATAAATATATAAGCATATTAAAATTGTCTTTTAAGAAAAAAATTATATATCGTAGAAAGAAAGATCGAGATAATATAAAATGTCGAGTAGTGCCTTACGTGTAGTAGTCGTTTAAATATTCTGGGAATCTTACTCTTCTTCCGGAACGCGTCGTTTTAGGTATATTTTCAGATACATTCGGAGTATCATCGCTAGTGTTGGTTGTCGGTTGAGGAATTATGAGTGTAGGAGTCGCGTTGTGCGATTGTACCGAAGGAAAATCGACGTGAATAGGATTTCCTTCTAAATACGCTGCTTTTAATCGATCGATGCTGATGCTATCGTTTGTTCCGTTCTTATCGACTATATAGTACTTAGATTCACGTTGAAGAACTTTGAAGGGTCCTTCGTATGCTGATTCGAATGGTCGTCGATGCGAGTCTCGACGAACGAAAACGTGTGTACTATATCGTAAGTCAGGTTGAACAAAAACATCAGTTGATTGAGGTCGAGTGGAAGCAGGTTTAACTGAACGCATTGCGTTTGTAAGCCTGTTCGTGTAGGAGGTTAGATCCATGTTCACTGAAGAGGATGAAGGATCCACGAATTCTCCTGGAAGTCGAAGTGTCGTTCCATAAACGAGTTGAGCCGCAGTGTATCCAATGTCAGCTTTCACTGCATTGCGAATACCTAGTAAGACAAGTGGAAGAGCGTCGGTCCACTGTGAAACGTTTGCAGCTGATAGCGAAGCTTTTAGTTGTCGGTGAAAACGTTCTACCAACCCGTTTGCTTGTGGATGGTAGGCGGTCGTTCGGAAGCGAGTGATTCCTAAAAGTGTGGTCAGACGACGGAAAAGATCAGATTCAAACTGACGTCCGCGGTCTGTAGTGATGGTTGAAGGGCAACCGGAGTTTCCTATCCATCGCTCGACGAAGGCGCGAGCCGCTGTTTCAGCAGTGATGTCCTTGATAGTTACTGCTTCTGGCCATCGAGTGAAACGGTCTACGCAGGTTAAGAGATAAGAGTATCCATTTGAATCTGGTAAAGGTCCTACCAAATCCAGATGAACATGGTCGAAACGAGCATCGGGAGTTTTAAATGAGCCTAAGGGACATTTATTGTGTCTGATAACCTTAGATTTTTGGCAGCTTACACAGGAGCGTGCCCACTCCCTCACGTCTTTATTCATACCAGGCCAGCAAAACCGTTCTGCTATAAGCTTGATGGTTGCACGAACACCTGGATGAGAAAGTTTGTGCAATGTGTTGAAGACATTGCGTCGATAATGTTTCGGCACGATTGGGCGATCCCTACCTGTAGATGTGTCACAAAGTAAGGTTTCCTTACCTGTTCCCATCTGTTTGATGCGTAGTTTAAGTGTTGTGGACGATAACTCGAGCTAAAAATCACTGTCTTCTTTTTGAAGCTCGGCGAGTTTAAGAAGGTCGATTCCTTGGAAACTGTTCAAGGAAGTTATGCGAGATAAAGCGTCTGCAACTACATTGTTTGCTCCAGAGATGTGTTGAATGTCTGAAGTAAACTGCGAAATGTAGTCCAGTTGTCGAGACTCACGGGGAGAGTACTTGTCAGAAGGAGAGCTTAACGAGAAAGTGAGCGGTTTATGGTCCGTGAAAAGAGTGAATTCACGACCTTCGATATAGTGTTGGAAATGCCGTACAGCACAATACATAGCTAGGAGTTCCCTACCGAATGTGCTGTACCTCAATTCAGTGTCTAGCAACCGTCTAGAGAAAAATGCCAAGGGTTGCCAGGAGTTGTTAACCCATTGTTGTAAGACTCCTCCGATTGCCGAGTCGGATGCGTCTACTGCGATACTAATGGGTGCTTCGGTGTCCTGATGTGCGAGCATTGTTGCTTTAGCAATCAGTTCCTTAACTGTGGAGAATGCTTTTCTTGCGGTGTCGTCCAAATTAATGGATTTCGCATTTCCACGAAGTTGGTCGGTCAGAGGTTTCATAAGTAATACGCATTTCGGTATGAAACGTCTATAGAAACTTACGAGGCCGTTAAACGTGCGTAATTGCTTGACGGTGGTCGGTTCTGGGTAATCCAGAATGGCCGCCACTTTGGTTCTAAGGGGTCGGATACCTTGAGCATCGATAGTGTGTTCCAGAAAGTCTAATGATTCGGTTCCAATTTGGCATTTCTGAACGTTTACAGTAATGCCATGTTTTTGTAGTCGTTCGAAAACAAGATCCAGATGCTTGAGATGTGTTTCTCTGTCCGGACTTGCGATTAGACAGTCGTCAACATACGCGTGTACGAAGTTGAGACCTCGAAAAACGTCGTCTATGAATCTTTGGAATGTTTGAGCAGCATTCCTTAGACCGAAAGGCATTCGCAAAAATTCATAGAGTCCGAAAGGAGTTATGATAGCTGTTTTCGGTATGTCGTCAGTAGCCATAGGGATTTGGTTATACGCTTTAACCAAGTCGATTTTCGAAAAAACAGTTGTACCTTTCAAGGTAGCTGTGAAATCGTGAATGTGAGGCAACGGGTAACGATCGGGAATGGTTTTTGCATTCAATCGCCGATAGTCACCAGTTGGACGCCAATCGTTGCTGTCCTTTTTAGGGACCATGTGCAACGGAGATGCATATGGGTTACTTGACGCTCGTATGATTCCTAAGTCTATCATATGGTCGAACTCGTTTTTCGCTAACCTTAGCTTTTCGGGAGCTAGTCGTCGTGCTTTAGAAAATACAGGTGGTCCTGTAGTCGTGATGTGATGTGTAACGTTGCTGGTTACACACGGTAATCTCGGTTGCGTTTGTTGTATCCCAGGATACTTATCGAGAAGTGGCTGATAGAGTGGGTCTATCATATGTTTAATTGTGACTGGGGATAATTTGCAACCAGTAAAAGAAGTTACGCAAACGGATAAATTAGTGTTTCCGTCTACTAGCCTCCGTTTGCGCGTATCGATGATCAGATTGTGATGTTGTAGAAGGTCCATACCAATGATTGGCATAGAAATATCTGCAACAACGAAGATCCAGTGAATGGGTTTGCGTAAACCCACGTTAAGGTAAACGTACCTTTTGCCATACGTAGCGATCGGTTTTCCGTTTGCCGCCTGTAAGTTTAGGGTCGATTCGTGTAGTCGGTCGTTAGGATTTGCTGGGAGAACGCTAACTTCTGCTCCAGTGTCGACGAGGTAGCGAACTCTCGTTGTCACATCTGTGACGAATAACAGACGGCTATGTTCGCCGGCTACGGTTGCCGTTAACGCGTGCCGGCTTGGAAGTTTCCCGAGTTGTTTTTCGAGTCACTCGGTTTCGTGTTGGGAAAATTGCAGGGTTTTCTGCAATTTCTGGAAAACTTTCCATACTGGTTATGATACCAGCACCAGTCGGGGTTATCTGTCTCTCGTGGTCTAGAGACAGATCGCTTACTAAAAGAGAAAAAAAAAGATGTGCGCGATCTCTTACGGTCGGTACGAAGACTAAGATAACGCGTGAGTGTGTGACATAACTCGGTTATATCATTCTGAGTCGTTTGAGGTTTTTCTTTGACTGAAAATACCTCGGTAGTAGAGTTTCGTAATTTCTAAAATGCGGTCGGCAGATGCAGCTAGCTCGTCTAAGGCGTTGTTCTGGAACGAGACCAGAACTGCTTGCACCTGTTGGGGAAGTTTTGACAAGAAGAGTTGTTTGAATAGACCTTCGTCGAAAGTTCTTGGGCCTATTACCTCTCTCATCCGTTGCAACATGTCCGTCGCAGAACCGTGTTGCAGGTCGATGTTAT